GTGCTGAGCCTGCTCCCTCTTTCGTCTGCCTTTTCTAAATATTTTAAAATAATGGGAGGTTTTGAGGCATGGTTATGCATTTTTGAAGGACATAGAAAAAAGGTTTGAAGGCTAATTTGAAATAGTGAAGGTTTTTGTGAAGGTTGTGCATGTGATGAGAAGGGAAACAGAGAAGGGGTTGAAAGGAAGAGAAAACCAGCAGCAAATAGGACATGGAAGGGAGGATGTCCTGGCAGGTTAGCTAGCGAAGCAGAAGGGAGACTTAGACTCCAAGGTTTTTTTTTTTAACTTAGAGGAAGAGGACTGACAGGACCGGGGCTCCTTTCCATTAAGCCCCCACGGGTAACCTTACAAGTGAGAGGCAAATCTATTAATTTCCTGGTGAGCACTGGGGCAGTTTATTCAGTCTTGACAGAGCCGATGGGACCTCTAGGAAGATATCAGTCCAGACAAACTGCCTGTTTTCCTTGGACATCAAGAAGGACTGTAGGCCAAAACCAGTTTGGCTCAGTGGATAGAGCATCAGCCTGAGGACTGAAAGGTCCCAGGTTCAATTCCTGTCAAGAGCATGTACCTTGGTTGCTGGCACATCCCCAGTAGGGGGTGTGCAAGAGGCAGCTGATCGATGATTCTCTCTCATCCATGTTTCTCTCTATCCCTCTCCCTTCCTCTCTGTAAAAAATCAATTATATATATATATATATATATATATATATATATATATATATAATTGATTTTTAGGTATATATATATATATATATATATATATATATATATATATATATATATATATATATATATATATTTAGACCTAAGAAGGAACACATACTGGGGGAACGCAGCCACTGAACTGGACCAAAGTGGAACGGGCCTTTGAGGAGCTAAAGAAGGCTCTTGTCTCAGCACCTGCCCTAGCCTTGCCAGATGTCACAAAGCCCATCCACATCTTCACGAGTGAGGTAAGGGGCAGTGCCAAAGGGATTCTCACTCAGACTCTAGGTCCCTGGAAGAGACCTGTTGCCTATCTGTCTAAGAGGCTAGACCCTGTGGCAGCAGAGTGGCCAGTGTGCCTCTGGGCAGTGGCCACCACTGCATTGCTGGTGAAGGAGGCAGATAAGCAGACTCTGGGCCAGGAGCTAGCCCTGACAACACCCCATGCCGTTGAGGCCCTCCTTCAAGTGCTCCAGAGAGATGGATGTCAAACACCAGAATCACCCAGTGCCAAGCTCTTCTCCTGGACCAGCCCTGTGTCCGGTTCCATAAGACACTAGCCATCAACCCTGCCAGCCTGCTTCCAGATGATCCAGAGGAACCCATTCATGACTGCATAGAGGTAACAGGCGCAGTACTGACAGATGTCCCGCTGTCATCACCAGATGAGGTACTGTACACTGCGTTCAGGATGGGATCTGATATAGAGGGGCAGCAGTAGTCACCCTGGACCACACCATTTGGACATAGTTCCTGAACTTTTGGCCTTAATCCAGGCCCTTTGATGGGGACACGGTGCCATCCACCGGGAAAGAGGGTTACCAACTCCAGCCAGAAAGGACATAATTTTAGCCTTATTTGAGGCCATCAGACTCCCAAAGGCAGTTGCAATAGTGCACTGCAAAGGACATCAGGAAGGGGAGACAACTGAAGCCAGAGAAAATAAAGCCACAGACCAAACTGCTAAGGAAGATGCCCAAAGACCAGTGGGGCCTTTACAAGTCTTAGTAACCCTGCCGGACCCCGGCCTACACCAAACAAGAGGAGGGATTGGCTGAACAGAAGCAAGCCATCAAAGGACCAGATGGTTGGTGGTCCCTACCAGATGACAGACTGTTGGTCCCAGAGGCTCTAGGTCAGACATTAGTTGCCCAGTTACACCAGGTTACCCACTTAGGCATCACCAAAACTTCTGAACTTTTGTGAGGCAGATACTACCAAGCTTAGATAAGATAATTAAAAGCCTAATTGATAGAAATACTGTCTGTATACAGGTAAATGCTGAGGTAGGAGGCTCTCCCTGGGAATTTGGGCCTCAGAGAAATTCCCCAGGAGAGCATTAGGAGGTGGATTTCACAGAGATTAAGCCACCAGCATTGAGGTACAAGTAGATACTAGTTTTTATAGACACCTTTCAGGTTAGGTTGAAGCATACCCCACTAGGATAGGAACTGCCTCTATAGTAGTCAAGAAATTACTCCAGGAGATTATACCTAGATTCAAACTGCCAGTAGTCATAGGATCTGATAACAGCCCCACCTTTGTAGCAAGGTATCTTAAAGTATAGCTCAAGCCTTAGGACAGGCATGAGCAGGACTCTAAAACCTTTAATTTGTCCTGGAAACCAGTGAAAATTGGACCAGCTCTTCGCCCTCTTATAGGCCAGGTGTACCCTCTACCGGGAGAGGTCCCCCCCGCCCCCACCCTTTTTTTTGAGATCATGTATGGTAGACCTCCCTCCATCCTTCCCGGGGTCAGGAAGAAACTGAAATCTGGAATTCATAATCATTCCCTTGCTAAAATCCTTACAGGCTCTGCAGTTTACCCAGAGAGCCACCCATAAGCTTATTCCAGATGCACTGCCAGTGCCCACTGCAGACCCTGTACACCCCATCCAGCCTGGAGACTCAGTGTGGGTAAAGAAGTTCACTGTCCAAGGACTCACCCCAACCTGAAAGGGACGCTACACTGTTACCCTGAGTACGCTCATGGCTGTTGAAGTAGACGGCACCCAGACCTGGCTACACCACTCCCAGCTCCTGCACGGAAAACGGCCTGGATCCCTGCAACCAGTGGCCTCACCCGTGAGATCCCCAGCCTGGGTTCCACACAGGCTAGGAGGAGACTTAATGCCTGCAGGAAGGGAACTGGACTTCAGTGAGGACAGTACAAATGGGAACTGTGATACTAGGGGTTTTGGTAACTGTAAGAACATTTTTTGCTAGTCAGTGAGAAAGTCCAGGGCTAAGTAAGACTAAGCGTGCTATGAAACTAGAGAACAAAAACAGAATAGAGAATGCCCTTAAAAGAAGTAGGATGCGTCAATGATTTGACTAATGCACATAAAACCAGTGGGGAATGAAATATAGTGGCAACCATACTTTGGTAAAAACTGCTGTTTGAATTTTAACCCTTCTAGTCTGGCTTCTGCACCTGATTAAAACACAGGGTACTTACCTCAGCTTTCATGTGGAGATCTGGAGGCTAAGACAATTTTCCCTTGCCTGGGACCAGGACCACAGGAGATTGATTCCCACTGACTCAGTAGCTTCAGTGACAGAAACTGTAGATAACCTTTAGAGACTAACTGCTGAGCTCTGTTTCTGTGTTATCGGCTATCACAAGATAGGGCCACATTCCAATGTCCAGCAGGATGTGACTAGCATCGACCCTGCGGGCTGACCCCAGTCTTTAGAATGTGGTCTTTAGGATTTAAAATTTAGAACAAAGGAAAATTCCTGTGGTTTGAACCTTTAAAAGGGACTGCCTACCCCTGAAACGGCAGTCGTGTGGAGACCACCTGAGTGTGGTACTCTTGCGGCTGTTCTGGTCAGTTCAATAAATCCTTGCCTGCTTTTTAAAAATTAATCATCAGCCTCCGGTGGTCTTATTTTGAACCCAGGATTCGACTCCACAACAGAATTTAAATGATTTCCTTATCTATACTAATAAAAGGGTAATATGCTAATTAGACTAGGATATCTTCTGGGACACCTTCTGGACAAAGCTATGGTGGCATGCTGAGGCAGAGGTGGTTAGTGGCGATTAGGCCAGGAGGGGAGAGCAGCTGGGGATGAGCAGGGTGTCAGGTGAGCGGTTAGGGGCCAGCAGTCTTGCATTGTGAGAGGGATGTCTGACTGCCGGTTTAGGCCCGATCCCATAGGAGTCCCAGATTTAAGAGGGTGCAGGCCCGGCTGAGGGACTCTCCGCCCCCGTGCATGAGTTTTGTGCATCAGGGCACTAATTTATAATAAAAGTATAATATGCTAATTAGACTAGACAGTCAAAGGACCTTCAGAAGTCTTTCCAGATGACTAAATACTTTATACCTGGGGCTGTGAGGGCCGAGGTAAGCCTCCGTGGCTTCAAGGGCTGAGTTCCTTGCATGAATTTTCTGCATCAGGCCTCTAGTAGTCAAATAAATCCAAAAGTAAGATGATACATATTCCTTTAAATGTAATTTTATAGCAAAAAAACAATAAAAGACCTTGCATGCAGAATGGGGTGACTTACCTTGTTTGCATGTTCTGCAGTCCCCCTAATAAACACTGTTGTGGGTTTGCAGAGGGTCAAACCGCCCTAGGCTCAGGGCTGTCCTGCCACTTGGCGGGCGCCACACATTTAGGCTATCTACGTTCTCCAGGTGGGCAAGCCCAGGCTCCTTATCAGACCCAGAAAGCCAGGTTTCTGCCCAAAGCGTGCCCTGAACCAACGACCTTCCTATCTTTACTTGGTTTGGCAGACTAAATGTCCCTGGGAGAGCTCCTGCCTGACTCTGCCCAACTCTTAGGCTGAGCTGGGTGCTGGGTGCCGGGAGCCGGGTGCTGGTTCTGGGCACTAACGGGCATTGAGTTAAGTGTACTCCGGTGGGCACACAGCGTCAGCACCCTTCCTGTAACCTGAGGGAGAACTGCCTCCTCGAACCTTCCCCAGTCCCACCCTCACTGCTCAGTCAGCCTCCGCCCCGGGGCAAGGACTCAAGCCCCGCCCCGCCCCAAGGCCCCGCCCACAACGCCTTCCCCAATAGGCCCCGCCCCTCTGCCTCTGGGCCGAAGACGCCGGCGCGCTCCTCTGACGCACGGCGCTTTCTCCGACGTCGCCTCTGCGGCCCCGCCCCGGGTCGCTGTGCCCGCCCACAGCGGCGGCTCCTGAGGCGGCGGCGGAGGTGGTCGCGGTCCTCGCCCAGCCGCTGTCGCCGCTGTGGTGCCCGGTCCGCGCGGCGGCCGCCCAGCCCCTTGGTCCGGCGGGCGATGGTGCGGCGGGGCGAGCGGACGCGGGCATGACGGAGGATGGAAGGACTGGACGAGGTGTCGGCGCGGGAGCAGCACTTCCACAGCCAAGTGCGGGAGTCCACGGTGAGCGCCGGGCGCCTGCGTCCCTGCGGCCCCCGCCCCGCGCCCCTTCCCGCGCCCGCGGCCGCCGCTCCCGGGCCACCTGCGCCGCGGCCGCCCGGCCCGCCCCTCCGCGCGCCCCCGCCGCCTCCTGCGCAGTCGCCTGAGCCACCTCCTCCGCGGGCGGCGCCGCGGCACCTGCCCGCCCCGCGCACCTGCCCCGCGCCCTGCTCTCCCGGGCCAGCGGCGGGCCTGGCGGGGGCAGGTGTGCTCCCGCCCTCCGCGGCGGCCTCGGCCACTGGCATCCAGGCCGAAACCCGGGGGTGGGGGCCGGCGGCTGGAGGGGGGCAGCCCTAGGCGGTCACCCTTTCTCGCCCCGGTTCGGTCTGCGCTGCTGCCCGCGGTCCGGATGCTCTGCCTTTTCAAGGTGCACGGAGCACAGCGTCGTGCTACTTGTGTGTGCAAAACGGCTAAAACACATTCTCTTCATGCACTGGCGTTGGCCCTTCCTAACTTCTCCCAGATTGCCGCACTTGGTTCGAGGTGAAACCTCGCAGCTTACAGTGGCCTCATGTGTGTAGTTATTGATCTTGAAAATTGAGAATCACTTTGCCAAGTCATCCTCTGGAATAAAGAGGAGATGCAAAGTCTGAAGTGGTGAAATTTGACACAGTACATTTGGTTCAGTGTTTGAATTGAAGCTAAAAGGGCACAGAGGCGTGCACGATCACACATGAACGGCCTGAGCATCTCACATGTGATTGAGAAAGGCTGCGAGCGCGTCCGGAGCCCTATCCCTCCCCCTGGCCAGTCACTCCAGCTCCTGGACAGTGGCCCCTCCTGGCTTACTAGGTTAGCTTTGCGTGGCTGTGAGCTTTGATATAAACGGAACCTCCACATATGCACTTTTTTGTGCCTTTTCTTTTATTGAATGATGTCTGAAATTTCTCCTTTTTGTATATGGCTGTAATTCATTCAGCTGTAGCTGTGTGATACCGTTTCCCCGAAAATAGGACAGTGTCATATTAATTTTTGCTCCCAAAGATTCGCTAGGTCTTATTTTCAGGGGATGTCTTATTTTTTCATGAAGAAGAATACGGTACACATTTATTGTTAAATGAAAAGAAAGGGAATTTACGGTAGTATGGTAGTAGTCAACACAAACCAGACAAACTGTGAATCCTACAGTATCAAGAATTTACTCATTTATTCAATGACCATCATGTCATCATCTTCTGGAACATCATCCTAACAATCCAATTCCTGAATATCCTGGTGAATTTCTTGTGACTCCATTTCTTTCAGTGGACCAAATCTCTCATGTGTAGCACTGTCTTTAAATGAGTACTTCTTGTCAAGGTAGCCTGCTCGCAGTGCATTTGCAATGCAACTGTCACTGATTTTCTCCCATGAATTCTTCTCAAGTCACAACTTCTTGCAGATTAGGTTTCACAAAGTTTCCACGCTGATTTCTCTCCATTCTGTTTTCAATGTAATAATTAATTTCCATGCAAAAATAGTCTTTGAATGGCTTCTTTATTGCAATATCAAGAGTCTGGAGATAGGCCGTCATTCCTGTGGGAATCATTATCTGATCTATTTTCTTTCATGAAGAAATGTCTTCATGTCTTTAGCATGGTGAGTGCTGGCTGCATCCCAGACTAGCAGACCTCTTTGGCTCCCTTGCATAACAAGCGCAGCATTAAATCGACCCACTTCCTTATAACTGCTTGTATGGCCCAAGCTTTTTCAGTTTCAAGAATAAAAATGCCCAAAACATGTTCAATCTTTTCCTTCTTGCCCTTAGAAATGGTTAAAGGTGGGTTTTTAGTGTCATCCAGACGAATTGCCAAAATACAGGAAACACGTGCACTTTCGTAAGCAGTAGAGGGAATGTACACTAAGGAGGCACCCCGCTGTTCAATTGTTGTTTGAGATGATTGGCCCATAAACACTGCAGTTTCATCCATAGCAATCATGTTGGAAAGATTGTATTTAGAGAAGTCAGCGTCATCAATAAAGGACTTGAATACAAGTGCTCACTTAATAACTTGAATATCTTCCAACCTAAACAATGTTGTACCAGTAGATCTTCTTAAAGACAGTTCAGTTCGCTTAAGGAAATTATCCGGCCAGTGTTGTGATGCTTTGAAGTCTTCGGGGGCTATGTCAAACTGTGGTGCCATTGCAAGGGCAAATTCTTGAATCTGAGCCCTATTCACAACCAAAGCCTCTGCTCTCCTGTCAACAACCCATTCACAGATCAGGTCTTCCAGCTCAGAAAATAATGGTTGCCGACCTGATCCACACTTGCGCTTTTTAGCATTTCCCTTGTCCACTTGTTCAATGAGGTTACCATACTCTGCTCGCCATTTTCAGACCAATCGGATACTCAACATCTTCTTTTTGCAGAAAGCAGTATTTTGGCCCCAAGAGTCTTCCACGATTCCTTTCTTGTACTCCACAGAGTAGCTTTTCATTTCTGCGCTCATTTCTAGGGATAAAAAAAAGGAATTGGGGTATCAAGGTGGGGGGAGGGGGATCACTTAAAATGACACAGGGGGGATCAGAGGGGGCAATCAAAATGGCACAGGAGAATCCCTTTTGATCCTCCTGTGTCATTTTGATTGCCCCCTCTGATCCTCCTGTGTCATTTTAAGTGATCCCCCTCCCCCCACCCCTGTGCCACTGAACACCTTCACCAGACATCCCCCCAACCCCTTTATCAGACATTTACCCCCTGGGGCCTGCCTGGGGACTGTCGCGGGCTTGCTGGGGCCTGGATCTGGGCTGGAGCAGGGTCTGCCACTGACTGAGAACCTTCAGTCATCATGAGGGCGGCTGTGAGCATCAGGTAGTGTCACCAGAGACAGACCAGCACCTTCGCTGAGTCCCATCTGCTCTAATCCTCCTGTTCTTCTACACGCATCTGCGAAAGTCTCCTCTCTCCCGCCCCGTGCTCACCGCTCACTCTGACCTCTGCTCCGCCTCCACACAGCAGTGACATCAGGACTCCGCGTTACGTCGCTGGTTGCTAGACGCCAGTCGGGGCGGCCCTAGCGACCAGTTTAAGGTAAATTAATTTTCATTCTGAGACAGAGCCTGTGGGAGGGCTTATTTTCAGGGGGATGCCTTATATTTCACTCAGAAGGAAACCTGTAAGTAGGTCTTATTTTCGGAGGATGTTTTATTTTCAAGGAAACACGGTAGTAACACAGTTCATGTTTATTTTGATCCAGTAGTTCCCAGATTTTGGCTCCAAATATTCTGGGACATATCTTTGGGTGAACATGGCTGTGCGTTTGGTCAGGTGGATACTTAGGAATGAGACCACTGGGTTATGTAGACTGTGCACTTACGAGGTGCTTTTAAACAGTTGGCCAATTTACATCCCAGCAGCACTGTATGAGAGGTGTATTTGCTTCCCATCTTTATAACACTTAATATTTTCTGCCATTAAAAAAAAAATATATATATTATATATATATATATATAATTTATTTTTTACAGAGAGAAAGAGAAAGGGATAGAGAAAGGGATGGTAAACATCGGTTAGCTGCCTCTTGCACACTCCCCATTGGAGATGTGCCTGCAACCAAAGTACATGCCCTTGACCGGAATCAAACCTGGGACCCTTCAAGTCCGCAGGCCGACGCTCTATCCATTGAGCCAAATCGGTTTCGGCTATTTTCTGCCATTTTTATTTGTTTATTTATTATATCTTTATTGATTTTAGCATGAAAGGAAGGGAGAGGGAGAGAGAAGCATCTATCGGCTGCCTCCTGTAGGCCCCTACTGCTGATTAAGCCAGCAACCTGGGCATGTGCCCTGACTGATTCTTGGAGACCTTTTGGTTCATGGGCAGTAATCTGCCAACTAAGCCACACTGGCTAGGGCTTCTGCCCCTTTTAAATGTTAGCTATTCCAATGTGTCATAGTATTTATTGCACGAAAGATTTTACTTGCATTTCTCTGATGATCAATGCATTTGAGAACCTTTTCAAAAGTTTATTGGTTATTTGGAAATCTTTTGTGTCTTCAAGGCTTTTCCCCATTAGTTTGTTTATCTTTTTAATATTGATTTATAAGAGGTTTTTTTTTGAAATACACTGCAAGTGATAGGATTTTTAAAAAAAATATATATTTTATTGATTTTGTACAGAGAGGAAGGGAGAGAGATACAGAGTTAGAAACATCAATGAGAGAGAATCATCGATCAGCTGCCTCTTGCACACCCCCTACTGGGGATGTGCCCACAACCAAGGTACATGCCCTTGACCGGAATTGAACCCAGGACCCTTCAGTCCCCAAGCCGATGCTCTATCCACTGAGCCAAACCGGTTTCGGCTATAAGATTTTTTATTGGAGATATACTTTGGTCAGAGAAATATATATAGAAATCCTCCCCCACCTATTGTGTTGATATCTTATGAGGAGCAGAAATTCTTAATATAGTTCACTTTATTAATTTTTTATTTTATTGTCAGTGCTTTTTTGTTTTATGTCCCATTTAAGAAATCTTTGCTTAATCCAAGGTTATGAGGATGTCTCTTGTGCTTTTCCCTAAGTACTTACTTGATTTGCTCTTCTCACTGAGATCTAAGTTCACCTGCAGATTATTTCTTAGGTGTGCCGTGAAGTAGGGTAATATGTGTTTCTTCACATGAATGTCCAATTGTTTAATTGGACATTCATTATGACCTTTGTCACAATTTAGGTAACTATATTTGTGGGGCTTAAGTTTGGACTCTGTGCTGTTCCATTGGTCTATTTTTTGCTTTATTTTTAATTAATTAGGTATTATGTCATTTGAATTGAGATCTCATATTGTGGTAGCCAGGAGCTTTATTACTTTGTCTACGCCACCACTTAACTATCACATCAGTCAGGTTTCTGGATGATAACAAGGGGTTAGAGTCAGACTCTATTTAAGATGGAGCCTCTAGAGAAAAATCCAAGGCAATGGGGAAACATAAACAAGAACAATAGAGGAAATTCCGATGCCCACAGTGACATCTTACAGT